TCTGCACAGGGCCCCGCCGAGCTTCCTGCGGCCGAGGGGCGTCTAGGGGCGCAGAACGGAGAGTGGGCGCCGAAACGCCTGTCGGCGCTGGAGGCCGACGGGGAGGCTTAGGGCGGTCCGGCTGCTCGGTGGAGGGGGTCGTGCACCTCGAAGCCTGCGGGCTAAGGCGGGGAGCCGTTCCTGCGGTGGCCGGGGGCGCGGGCTGGAGGGAGGAAAGCGCCGCGGACCGGAGAACCGGGGGGACGGGGAGACGAGGGCGGCGGGCAGCCGCCGAGTGGTCTGCAGCTCCGAACCCCGCCACCCTCCGGACTCACGGAATGGCACCTCGGGGACGGGCGAAAGTGCGTTTGATCGGACCCGAAGTAGAGCCCGGATCGGAGGGCGCGACCATAGGCGAGGGTGGCCGCACGGGCTGGGAGCCCCGGGGCGGGAGCGGGTGAGTGGAGTCGCCCGGGGTAGGGGAGTTGGGGGCAGTGGTTGTGAAGACCGTCGGAGTCGGGCTCCGGACAGGCGAGACACCGGGGCGCGCTAGACTCTGTTTCCTCCTCCTCTCCGCTTTCCCACCAGCCCTGTAGATGCTGAGGCTGGGGGTCGCGGTTCCTAAGGCAGTCTCTTCCCGGGTCAGACCCCACGCCGCGGCGGTAGTCGCGTGGCGCAGTCCTGGGGTGGAACTGTCCCCGCGCCCTGGCCCGCAGGCAGGAAGGCCTGCAACCTTGCGCCCTCGCCGGGCGCCCAGCTCAGGGCTAGGGACTGGGAAGGTGCATTTCCGTGTGGAGTGGAGGCGATTCCCGGCTGTTGGCGGTGGGGCGAGGCCTGCGGCGGAAGAGCCAGGCCTCTGCGGCTTTCCAGGCAGCCAGGTGCAGGATTTCCCGACTGTCGGACCCGTGGAGGCGAAGGCGGGCGGCTACCCCCAGCCTCCTCGGGAAGCCGCCGCTGGGCCAGGAAGGGATGGGTGACAGAGCTCACACCATTCTCGCGCCGCCCTCGAATTCGCGGGCCTCCGTTCCCCTTGCCATCGCTGGGTGTGCGCCCCAGTCCCCAGCGACTTAAGGCCCATGGGCGTCCTGTGTGCACGACTACTGCCCGCGGCGCACCGGCCTAAGCCCGGAGGGAGGTGCGGGGCGGGAGAGGCGGCCCTCCCTGGGTCTCCCTGCCTGTCACATCTGCACTTATTTAAAGCTCGGCTGGTGGTCTGCGCTCTCTGGAATGCCAGTTGCGGGCCTGGCCTCCTACGGCATTTGCATTGATTAGCGAGCGGGTCTAGGGGAAGAAGGGGGCGTGGGGCGGGGGGCGGGGGGAGACCGGAGGTTCACAGTATTCCTCCTGCCCCTGTCTGGCGAGCTAACCGGAGCCCAATGATTCCGGCTGCACCGATGGCTGAGTGTGTCAGGCAGCTGGGAACCGAACTTGAAGAACGTTCGATGCGTCTGGGAACCGGCCACTGCCATTTAGCAGTACTTTGCGGTCCGGCGCGCACACAGGGCCCTAAATCTCCGCAGGTTCCAGCGCTGAAGCGCGTGGAGAAGGTGAACAAGTGCTGTGACCCCAAGTCCTAGAAGTCCGTAGGCAGTGCCTGGGATATGCAGCATCCTTGATGCGAAACTCTTAAACGTTTGCTGCCCCAAGTCCATACAAAACGAGATTGGCCTGCCTCGCTTAAAATACTGTACACAAAGCGTAGACAAGGCACGGGCAACCGACATCGAGGACACCAGCCCAAGCAGAAGAGGCCCGGTGCAAATTCGTCGCTGAAAATAAGCTGGGTTCTAATTTACTGTACCTCCCAGGGGCCCAGGGGTTGGGGGGAGAAGCAGACGGGGACCTGTTTAAATTCTTGAATCCTCAAAAAGTTCGGCCTGATTTTGCATTTGCCTTTGGACTTGGTATAATTCAGGGTGGAAATAAGGCCCCTCTGTATTTCTATTCCCCTTCGCTTTTCTGCGAAGCTTTTACCTCAGAGGAAAGTTGTTTTAGTAATCTGGGAAAGAGAAACCATGCGCTGAGTCAGCGGCACCAGGCCAGTTCAGCTCAATACTACTGCTGTGTGTAATGTACACACTCTATATGCCTTTGTGGAAATAATCAAAAATATATTAGAATTATCATGGCATAGCAATGCCCACGAAGCCAGATTTCTGTGTCTTCTAATACAAGGAAATAGGTTCTGAACCTGTCTTCTAACAAGCCTTAGATCCAAGGCCACTTAATGGGAGAGAACAGGAAAAATGCAGTTCTCAAAACAATACAAAATAGTTTACTTGCTTCAGATGGTCATGTTACAGAATGCTTAAATACTCCTTTCTGCCTGTGTTCCTGTGACAAGTGTTCAAGGTGGCTTCAGTAGATGGAATCTTAGTTTTTTATTTTGCATCATTAAAAGCATTTCTCAAAACTGATTCTTGAGGAGGTCTGAAAAGTCTCCTTGCAAGTCCCATTAGAACCTTGATCATGCTTTCTCATTTGTGTGGAAGGAATAAATGTATTCAGAGCCACTTGGAATGAAACTCTTAAACTACCAAGCAACTGTTTTTTAGAATAGTTGCTTTTAACTGTCCAGGGGTTACCTGATTTGCAGTATGTTAACACTTTGGCTGTTAAACAGTCTAAATTGTGCTTTTAATGACAGACATTCAATATTTCTGGGGCTACTTCTTCATAGTTATTTTAATTCTAAGAGTTTAGTTGCAGAAAGTGACTTTTTAAAAACCAAAAATAGCATAAAAATTTCATAAAGAACCAACCAAAAGTTTGCCTCTGTTTCGTTTATATTTTTACCTCCAGACTAGAACTTAGTACATCTTTTATGCTTTTACTATTTAAATTCTTAAAAAATATAGCTACGTTTCAGTATAATGGAAAAACATCTGGATGTGAAAAATTCAGTCTGTCACCCAACTTCCAGATGTTTGGTACTACGTAGACAAAACATCAGAATGAATGACTGATTTTTTTTCCCTCTACAATCCAGATGGTTTAGTGCCTCTTGCTTCTATAAGGAAGCATATTTTCCTTTCTCTAAACATCACATCCTACTGTAGCCCACGTAAGGGATGATTTACACCCTTTCAGCTACAAAATGCTAGGCCATTTGAAGCGCAGCAAAGCAATCAGTTAATGAAACAATGTTTTTGTGAATGTAGTCCAAGTACAAGTGTTAGTGTGTACTTAGGAGGGAGTGGTGGTGGTGGAGTCAGAAACGGGAAGGTAAGAGGGTGAGTGCCTTGTTCAATGGGAGAATGACTTGGCTAAAAGGACACAGCGTTCCAAAAATCCATCTGTGGCATCCCATAATCTTAATAGGTGAAGTGGAACATTTAGCAGCAGCTTCAATACGGCTGCCTTTTGCCTGAGATGCAACTGGACTACAAAGTGTCATCGTGTACTCTGAAGCTTTCTTTTCCTACTGTTGTTCCTTCTTGGAGCATTATAAAATGCAACAGAGAAATGTAATGTAACATTAAAACATTAGGACTCATGAGCATTATGCAAGTGGAAAAATTCTCTGAAAAGTAAAAACGCAAGTAAGTGATTTAAATATTCATGTTGTTATATGGTGAATATTTAAGTCACTCAAAACTATAGAGATGATGATTGGATTTCTCTTCCTGTGACATGTCACCACATTGTACAGTTGTTAAACTTGGAGCTGAAGACAGCAATATTTTTCCCTTCCCCAGAGTCGAAGAGATTTAAGGTCATGAACAGAGCCAGAGCTTTTCTGCTTCACTATGTTGAGGAAGAAGGAACAGATGTAAAGAGCCTTCCACTAGAATCAGCAGATGAAATCAAACTCAGAATGAATTCCATTCTACTTATTAACCTCACACTCCCTGGATTATAGAACAATGTTTAGATAATGAATGGCAATGAATGTTAAAACATCATAAAACCTGACCACTTAATAATTGCTGCAAGAAAAACATACCATTTTAAATAGATCTTCTTACAACTCAGATTCTGAGCCTTGGATAAGAAGACAGGATTTTATACTGGCCCAAGATCAATTTTAAAGAATAGTTTATGGGAATCTAGTAGAACTTCAGGGTACATATACTGAGTAGTTAAGAGACTCAAAAGCCAAGTGGGAATCTTCAACACCATATAAAACAGAATCACAGTTATTTTTCTTGATTGGATGTTTTCATGACTTTTTTGGTGATTCATTTATTAGAATAATAAAATGACAGAGCTGGAATGGACTTAGAGTTCATCCAGATCTCCTCTGTCTTTTATAGATGAGGAAATGGAACCAAAATGAAAGGACCTATCCAAGGCCACACATTCATTCCAGGAAGGGTCAAAACTAGAATCACTGTGTTCTACTCATGAATTACAGAATCCAGTCCTGTCTCCAGGGCAGCTTGCGTTGAATCATTACAATGCGGCTCAGTGGTGTTCAAGAAACTGACACCCATCACTACAGGTTGGAAATGGCTCAACATCATTCATTCGCGTTACACATCTAAGCGCTATAAAAACAAAGCTAGTGTGAAGGCAGAGTTCCCCCATTTGTCTCCAGAATAAGACAGACTATTGCAAAAACAGAGCTAATAAAACTCTGTCAACTTCAACAACTTGGCTAGAGGTCCTGATAAAAAGTGACAGCCTTAGCTTTTTAAAGAGAACTTACAGCACCTTGGAAGCATGTGATGTGTAGAATCTGCTACAGTTTCTTTGAAAATAACACAAACATTCAAAATTTAAGTGACTTTAATGGGGAAGAGTGGAGGAGGTGGTGGTCATAGCCATGTCTATGCTATTCTTCACAGAAGACATAGATGTCAGTGGTCCTTCACTCATCTCAGAAACAACTCGCTACTCCAGCAGCTTGCATGATGAAATGGAAGGTTAGGATGCAAGGGGAAGGTGGAGGATGGAAGATGGGGTGGCTGGGTCATATTAGATAGCAATATGAGGCATATTGTTCCCCAATTTTAAGGAACTGGGGATCTCACTAGTTCTTCATGGTGTGAGCCAAGGATATTTCCTTGACTCTTACGTGATGTTATCAAACCTCTTCTGTTAAATGTTTTATTCAACATCAAATGAGAACATGGAAGCATTGCTTCTAGGAAGAGAAGACAGCCCCTGACTCCTTCATGAGTATTCTGCTCCAAGAACTCCAAGGAAGATTAAGGATTAGGAGAGATGGAGGTGGGAGGAGTAGGGGAAGTCAGACTCAGTATGGTTGGCCCTCTGTATCTGTAGGTTCCACATCTGTGGATTCAACCAACCTCGGATGGAAACTATTCAGAAAAAAAATGGATGGTTTCACATATATTGAACATGCAGGCTTTTTTTTTTCCTTGACATTATTTGCTAAGCAATAGAGTATAACAACCATTTACAGAGCATTTACATTGTATTAGGTATTAGTAATCTAGAGATGACTGGAAGTACAGTATATAAGAGGATATGCATAGGTTATACGCAAATACCATATCATTTTATATGAGGGCTTTGAACATCTATGGATTTTGGTACCCTTGGAAGGTTCTGGAACCCATCTCCAGTATCCCAAGGTACCATATTTGGAATTGTGAGAAAAGAATAGTCATGTTTTGATTGCCTTGTAGAGAAAGGAGATCCTGGTAAGGCCTTCCCTCAAACTAATTTAAAGTTAGTGCTCCCTGAGAAGCAGGATCTGGCCAGAATTTGGGAGAGGGGGATGCTGGGAGAAGAGGTCTATATTCTTTTAAAATGCTTAAGGGAGTAACTAAGCCAGCAAAAGTTAAACCAAATAAAACCAGCATGCCCACTTACCTCTTTAATTTACTCTCCCAAACAGATCATCATTTGAGCTATTCCACTGAAGTCAAGCATGAAATCCATTTAGCTGGATAGCTACCCATTTCCTGTGACCTGCAAAAGAGATGCCCTATTCTTTCAGAATCCTTTGAATGCCACATGCCAAGGCCCACTAGAAAACTGGGAAGGAAAACCGGAGCCACAGGCCTGGGCGCACTGAAATTCACTACTCTTTAGAGTGGATTTCAGCACCACCCAACCCAGATGCGTGGCTGCTAGTTTAACAGCATAGGTCAATGAATGGTTTTAAGTTGTTGTGGGTTTAAGAGGATCTCTTGGTTGACAGGCATTTTTGAATCTTTTTTCTGCCTGAGACCCTTTTGCAGTTTTGTACAATGTACAGACTGTTTCTCAGAATGTTTTTAAATGCGTAAATTATATTGAAATTGGCTGGGAGCAGTGGCTCACGCCTGTAATCTCAGCACCTTGGGAGGCTGAGGCAGGTGGATTACCTGAGGTCAGGAGTTCAAGACCAACCTGGCCAACATAGTGAAACCCCATCTCTATTTAAAAAATACAAAAATTAGCCAGGTGTGGTGGTGCATGCCTGTAATCCCAGCTACTTGGGAGGCTGAGGCAGGAGAATTGCTTGAAAAGGCTGAGGTTGCAGTGAGCCAAGATCATGGCATTGCACTCCAGCCTGGTGACAGAGCGAGACTCCATCTCAAAAAAATAATTATGTTTAAATAAAATTATCAAGATATTTTTAAGAAACAAGTTTGTAATATATTTGTTTCTTTGTTAGCACATCAAATGCAAGATCTAGTGGTAAGTCTAATAACTTCTGTGATATTGAAACAATAAGTGTTAATGATAAACTCAGAATATCCTCAACAACTATAATGTGACATGAAGGTATCTGTAATTTCTATTGGCGACAAAGTCACAGGTACTGCTAATGCATCTGTAGTTTGTGTCTACATTCATAATGAAAAGAAATGATAATTTTAAAATAGTGATTGGTAGAAATGAAAATGTAAGGTTTTCACATCCTAGTTTATAGACTTCTGCTTTTACTTGATTGCATTTCCAGAACTCCTTACTTCCTCTTAAAGAACTCCTTAGAAGGAGGAAGAGGGGGCAGTTCTAATAGTACCTTAGAGATATGAAATGAGATGGTCACAGCCATATGAGTAGATTTTAATTGGATTACATTGGGCCTGAGTTTGGAGTGTCAGCATTAAGCCTGTGATACAAGATCTTGTTCCTAAGATGAAAAGTAACTTTATATGGTAATCCTGTAGAGTTGAGATCTTGAGAAGCATTCCCTTGATGAGAGGACACTGGAGGAAGTGTCAGAGTCACCTGACACAAGGAGGAGAGTGGTAACCAGAGCCAGGAGGGACTTGATAAGGATGAGTGAATCACCTCTGCTTAGTGAATGAGCCCAGGGTGGAGCTCAGCTTCCATCCAGGGAGCTTCAGTCTCCATCCAGGGAGTCTTCATCAAGTGAAGAGAGCAAATCCCCAGAGAGGAGGGGATCTGCATCAAGGGTTGGGGAGGCACAAGCAGATCAGGGCAGAATAGCCTGCAGCCTGGGAGCAGAGGGCAGAGAGAGAGCCCAAGCAGGAGTGTCTTCCTGAAGAGTGAACAAAGAAACGACTGACCATTTAAACTTCATTCACATTAAGAAATTTCACTTATCAATAGATATTATTGAAGAAAATGGAAAGGCAAACCACATACTGGGAGGAAAATGTTCAAGACATATATCTGACAGAAGATTCATATCCACCATATCCACAATACATAAAGAACTCTTACAAATCAAAAAGACAAATACAAGCAACCCAAAGATTATACATGAACCAAAGACTCAACAGACACTTCAGAAAGAGGGTATCCAAATGGCCAGTGAGCGTTTGAAAAGGTGTTCAGTGTCATTAGTCATCAGGACATGCAAATTAAGCCTTTACTCAAATACACACATTGTAGAAGGACTAAAACTAAAACAATAAAAATTCATCATGTCAAGTGTTGGAGAAGATACGGAGCAACTGAAACTCACACACTGTGGGTGGGAATGTACACTAGTAGGACCATGTTGGAAAGCTTTTAGTATCCACTAAAACAAAGCACAAATTCATGCCCAAGACCCAGTAACTCCATTCTCAGGTATAGACCCAAGATCACATTTGTCCACCAAAAGACACATACAAGAATACAGATTTATGTATTTTATATATTTATAGATGTAAATATTCATTTATATAAATATTTATCGACTTTATTCACTATAGCATCAACCCGGAAAGAAATTCCCAAAAAAAGATTGATTGCAGTGTATTCGCACACTGGAATATCACACAGCAATGAAAAAGAACAAACTATCACTATACACAAAGTGGGTGAATTATATAGTCATAATATAGAGCAAAGGGAGCCGGATATAAAAGAGTATACACTGTATGATTCCATTTATGGGAAAGAAGAGAACAGGCAAAACTAATCTAATGTAGGTCAGGATACAATTTACTTTTGCAGGGTGGGGGTATTCATTGGGAGGGGACACAGGGCACCTTCTGTGGTGCTGAATTATAAATATTATTGACTTTCTGAAAAGTGATTTGGAAATGCAGTCAAGTAAAAGCAGACTGCCATACTGTAGATTCACTCCTTCTGACTCCATGGTTTTTTATTACAAAAGGATTTCACCTGGGCCAGCCATATGAGCCTGAAGAGGGTACAAGGGCAAACTCCAGACTGGCAAAAGATTCTTGCAATAGATGTATCTGATGCATGGCTTGCATCCAGTTTAAAATGTGCAAAAGATTCAAAGTAAACTTTGTAAAAGAGGATAACCAAATGGCTAATAAGTGTAGGGAAAGTTGCTCAACAGCTTTATTCGTCAGGGAAATGCAAATTAAAACCACAACCCCACAAAATTATACACACCCACAAAATGACTGAAATACCAAAGGTGGGCAAGCATTGAGCAATGGAACTCTCCCACACTGCTGATGGGAAAGAAAACTGGCATAGTCATAGTGGAAACCAGCTGTATTTACGAACGCTAAGCATGTACCTATCAGCCTAGGGCTCTGCGTGACTGGTCCAGGAGCCCAGTTAAATAAGAACAGGGAGAAGGACCAGAAATCTTGTCTAATGAAGTCTGCCAGGCTTAGGAAACTATGTATGTTTGGGTTTTTTCTTTAGATTTCTAGCAAAGTTCTTTTCTCTTTTTTCTTTCTTTCTTTTTTTTTTTTCTTCAAAATCCCAGCATTATCTTGGTTTAAAGGAGAAGGGGAATTGTCTGCTTAGTCCAGAACAGTAAGGGAAATGAGAAATCCAGTCTGCTGGTGGAAATGGCTGAGTCAGCCAGAATACCTGAGAGCACTGTGGAGCCCTGGAGTGAGTAGGCAAGTCAGGATGGTTCAAGGTTTCTCTCATGGGGCCCCAGAGGGAAAGACCAAGAAAGCTACTCACTGCCTTCTACTGCTGTCTAGGAAATGGCCTATTTCTTCTTAGAGCACTGGCTGTCCATGGGTGGCGCAAACCACACATGTGCCTTGCACAGAGGTGTTTCTGCAGCCCTCATTTCTGTATTGATTAGCCAGTGCTGCAGGAACTGACATGGGAGCCTGGCAAGAGTTGAGAATCCAGCTTGGGGGGGGAGGATGAAGGTGATGGAGGGGGGACTTGGGGTAAGGGGAGCAAAGTGGCCGAAGAACTTAACAAGACCAGAGCCAACAGAAGCCTGAGACTCAGCTTTCCAGCTCTCCTCTTGTGAGCCCATCCATCAGCATGGCCTTCTGGCTCCACATTGCTGCTTCCCATGAACATTGGTGCCAGGATGGACAAGCTCCAGGGTGACTCATAACAAGCAGCAAACAGCACAGGGATGGCTGGGGATCTGACATCTGTTTCACGTCAGAGTGAAAACTTATTTCTCCTAAACACGGAGGATGGCAGCTATAAATGTCAATCTTTGTGGCTCACTGTCAGGATATTTTTTCCTGGTTTGAGAATTTTCTCAGGAGATGTAACCCATGATGCACCCCAGGCTGTCCCCAAAGTCACATGTCAAAGGTCCAGGTCATGGCAACACAGCCCTTGAACGAAATATGAAGTACAAGATACTAGCCCTTTTGTGATAGAAAGCGGTTTTTTTTTTAAGGGTTCTATTAAACTTAGACCCTATTCACATGTCTTGTTCTGTTCATTTGACTTTGAGACTTGGGAGACTGACTTTTCAACCTCATATTTATTGTTGTCATCACCCACTGACATGTATTAGGCACTTACTGTGTGTAGAATACTGTGTTTAGCATAGAAGAGTTGTATATAAACTTGTGCAAGGTATCCATAGAATGACAAGGGTCTTGTTATTAAATCTCAAGATACCATTCATTCATTCATTCAGAGGATTATTTTATGAACCTCTACCATGTGCCCAGTACCATGTGGCTGTTGGTGACACAACAGAAAGCAGCAGGACAGAAACAGTCTCGGTCCCGACAGTACTCATGGTCCAGTGAGGGAGAAAGATTTTAACTTTTGTTTTTAAATTGTAGTTTTTAATTGATTTTGAGATGGAGTCTCGCTCTGTTGCCCAGGCTAGAGTGCAGTGGCTCAATCTCGGCTCACTGCAACCTCCACCTTCCGGGCTCAAGTGATTCTCATGCCTCAGCCTCCTGAGTAGCTGGACCACAGGCACCCACCACCATGCCCAGCTAATTTTTGTATTTTAATAGAGACAGGGTTTCGCCATGTTTGCCAGGGTGGTCTCAAAGTCCTGACCTCAAGAAGGTAGTTGTTAAGTTTAGAATCATCAGAGATACACAATGGGATAGAAACTCACTGCACTTTAAGAGGGTAATACAGATGCACAGGGAGAATAAGCAAAGAGGCTGAGGAGGCTGTGGCTGGTAGTTGTATCACACGTCGTAGGGGGCTTGGGGGCTGTTTGAAGGAAGGCAGCTGTGGCATCCCGCAAACTAAGAGATGCGGCTGTGGATGAAAAACTGCAGGGGTGTTCTCATTTGGTTGCGTGAGGTCTGTTGCCCACCATGTGGTTGAGAATCCCTAAAGCTGATTTCAGAGAGTTGGTGGAA